TGAAAAGAAGGAGGAAGTGGGGTCAGAGTGGGGAACAGTGTCAAGGTGAGAGGGACGAGAATGAGAGCCCAGGGTTGGTGGAAAGAGAAGTGGATATTTGGTCTGCACAGTGGCTCGTACCTGTAATCCGAGAGCTTTGGGAGGCTGAGCCAGGAGGACTGCTTGAGGCCAGGAGTTTGAGACCAGCCTGGGCAACATAGCAAAACCCTGCCTCCACAAAAAATTTAAAAATTAGCCAGGCCTGGTATTACATGTCTGTAGTCAGCTACTCTGGGGGCTGAGGTGGGAGGACCAGGAGGTTGAGGCTGCAGGGAGCCATGACTGCACCACTGCACTCCAGCCTGGATGACAAAGCAAGACCCTGTCAAAAAGAAAAATTTGTAGAGATGGGGTCTCAGGGCCGAACGCGGTGGCTCAAGCCTTTAATCCCAGCACTTTGGGAGGCCGAGGTGGGTAGATCACGAGGTCAAGAGATTGAGACCATCCTGGTCAACGTGGTGAAACCCCATCTCTACTAAAAATACAAAAAATTAGCTGGGCATGGTGGTGCATGCCTGTAATCCCAGCTGCTCAGGAGGCTGAGGCAGGAGAATTGCCTGAACCCAGGAGGTGGAGGTTGTGGTGAGCCGAGATCATTCCATTGCACTCCAGCCTGGGTAACAAGAGCTAAACTCCATCTCAAAAAAAATAAAAAAAGAGATGGGGTCTCACTACATTGCCCAGGTTGATCTCAAACTCCTGGCCCAAAACAATCCTCCTGCCTCAGCCTCCCAAAGCATTGGGATTATAGGTGTGAGCTATCACGCCTGGCCCCACATTTTTGTAAAGATAGTATTTTGTAACCTGTGAATATCAGATGAAATTCAGAGGTCCATATTTATAAATAAAGCTATATTAGAACCCGGGCACACTCGTTGGTTGACATGTAATCTCTGGCCCCCCTATAACAGCAGAGCTAAGTAATTGAGGCAGATGGTACAGCCTGCAAAGCTGAAATATCTATTCTCTGACCCTTTGTAAAAGAAGTTTGCCAGGCCGGGTGCAGTGGCTCATGCCTGTAATCCCAGCACTCTGGGAAACCGTGGTATCACCTGCAGTCAGGAGTTCGAGACCAGCCTGACCAACATGGTGAAACCCTGTCTCTACTAAAAATACAAAAATTAGCCAGGCATGGTAGTGTGCTTGTAGTTTCAGCTACTCAGGAGGCTGAGGGAGGAGAATCGCTTAAATCCGGGAGGTGGAGGTTGCAGTGAGCCGAGATTGCACCACTGCACTCTAGCCTGGGTAACAGCGTGAGGTTCCATCTCAGAAAAGAAGTTTGCCAACATGCCAGGTGCGGTGACTCATGCCTATAATCCCAGCACTTTGGGAGACTGAGGCAGGCGGATCACTTGAGGTCGGGAGTTCGAGACCAGCCTGGGCAACATGGAGAAATCCATCTCTACTAAAAATACAAAAATTAGCCAGGCATGGTGGCGCGTGCCTGTACTCACACCTACTCGGGAGGCTGAGGCAGGAGAATCACTTGAACTCGGGAGGTGGAAGTTGCGATGAGCCCAGATCGTGTCATTGCGCTCCAGCCTGGGCAACAAGAGCAAAACTCCATCTCAAAAAAAAAAAAAGAAGTTTGTCAACCCCTGAGGGAGACAGTGAGACAATGAAGCCATGTACTGAGATGAGAAGGATAGGGAATGGGATCAGATTTGGGGGTTCACGTGGGGACGTTTCTCAGCCCCGGGCATCTGGGTGGAACCCTGGCTCCAACGTCTGTGACAGATGTGGTGCTTTGGTGGGCGAACTGCCCCAGGCCTCACGGGCTCTCATTTTCAGCCCTCCCCAAAGCCAGTCCTGCTTCACCAATCAAAGGAAAGGAAGCTGTCAGCAGAGATGAACAGAATAACCTCTGAGGAAGCCACTTCCTCCTGCCCCCCAAAAGCCCCTCTTGGAGAGGCCCGTCAGAAACTCTGGAGGAACCTCAAAATGCTCCCCAAGAGAGGCCAGAGGGTCCAGCAGCAGCTGAAAACCCACCTCGCCACTGTGAACTTGTCGTCACTCTTGGATGTCCGGAGATCCACGGTGACCTCAGGCCCTGGGACCGGAAAAGGCAGCCAAGAACCATCAGGGGACACCACCTTAGGGGACAGAGTCTACACAGACCCCTTTGTGGCCACGTCCCTTGAAAACCCCTCAGAGCCTCATGCGCCAAAAGACAGAAAGATCCCCACCAGGAAGGCCGAGAGGTCAGCCAGCTGCAATGAGGTGACTTCAGGGGACAGGAGTTGGCACCAAACGGTAGTGAGAGCTGTATCCTCCCAGGAGTCCAAGCCGGAGTGCCAGGGCTTGGCAGAGCCTGAGAATGACCAGCTCCCAGAGGAGTACCAACCACCGCCACCCTTTGCCCCCGGGTACTGCTAGAGAACGGGTCCACCCCGGCTCTGGGACTGTTGGTGCCAGGGGCTGCCACACTCCTGGATGTCCTAACATTTCTTCCATGGCCCCAGACCACAGCATTCGGGAGTCTCTGGGAACCCGGGAAATGGAATAAAGACATTTTGGGAGTCTGTTCCTACAGTCACCCGTGGGGTGAGCTGGTTATTTTAGCAATAATCATCAGAGTGATCCTGATGGTTTGCGGTACCTCCTGTCCGTCAGCCCCTGCACCGGACCCGCTATATCCATTCTTTTCTATCCCAGAGCAAGCCCCTTAGGTAGGGTTATCCTCCACGTTTTGAAGAAGAGACTGAGGTTCAGAGAGGAGAAGCAGCATGAGCAAGGCTACAGAGCTGTGGGTGTCAGCACCAGCATTTGGAGCCAGGTGAATCACCAAGCCCTCTTCCCATGTCATCTATTTGTCCTATTGTCTAAAAGTACACTGCAGGCCAGGCGAGGCGGCGCACGCCTGTAATCCCAGCACTTTGAGGGGTCGAGATAGGAGGATCGCTTGAGGCCAGAAGTTCAAGACTAGCCTGACCAACATGGTGAAACCCCATATCTACTAAAAATAAAAAATTAGCCAAGTGTGGTGGCGGGCACCTGTAATCCCAGCTACTCGGAAGGCTGAGGCAGGAGAATCGCTTGAACCTGGGTGGCTGAGATTGCAGTGAGCCCAGATCAAGCCACGGCACTCCAGCCTGGGCAACAGAGCAAGTCTCTGGGGGAAAAAAAAAAAAGGCAGGGGATGGAGGGAGGCATCACAGGGCTGTGCCTGGTGGAGGGTTCTGGAAAGAATCCTTGGTTGTGGGGCTGTGTGACCTTTGGCAAATCTAGACGTCTCTGGACGGACTTTTTTTTCTTTCTTTCTTTTTTTCTTTGTTTTTGAGACAAAGTCTCACTCTGCCGCCCAGGCTGGAGTGCAGTGTCACAATCTCAACTCACTGCAACCTCCATCTCCCCGTTCAATTGATCCTCCTGCCTCAGCCTCCCAAGAAGCTGGGATTACAGGTGCCCACCACCACACCTGGCTAATTTTTGTATTTTCAGTAGAGGCTGGGTGTCACCATGTTGGCCAGGCTAGTCTCAAACTCCTGACCTTGGATAATCCACCCCCTCCTTGGCCTCCCAAAGTGCTGGGATTATAGGCATGAGCCACTGCGCCTGGCCTATTTATTTATTTAGAGACAGAATCTCTCTCTATTGCCCAGGCCGGAGTGCAGTGGCACGATCTCCAATCACTACCACCTCCCTCTCTTGGGCTCAAGCAATCCTCCCTCCTCAGCCTCCCAAGTAGCTGGGACTACAGGCATCCGCCACAGCACCCAGCTAATTTTTGTATTTTTGGTAGAGGCGGGATTTCACCATGTAGCCCAGGCTGGTCTTGAATTCCCAGGCTCAGGTGATCTGCCCACCTCGGCCTCCCACAGTGCTGGGATTGCAGGCTTGAGCCACCACACCCGGCTCAGTAGCTGCTTTATTAATTAGGGGTTTAGGACGGGAGCAAGGACTCTAAATGTGACATACCTACAGTGGAGGTGTCTGGGAAGGTTCCAAGGGGCTGGTCTTGGTTGCAGGAGTGAGCATTCCTTGGACCGACTGGGGCATAGATGGGAGCCCTGGGACAACCCCAGGTGGAGGGGGCGTGGGGTTCCCCAAATGTACAAGGTGGGATCCGGTATGAGGGGCACCTGGCTTCAAGCCCGCCCCTGCAAATGACTTGTGGCATGGCCTTAGGCAAGTCTGTCTCCTCCCTCCAAATGAGGGCGCGATCCTGCAGGGTTGTTATGGAGGTCAATGTCACGGCAGGGGGTAGATGCATCATAAACTGTAAAGTGCAGTGCCACCTCAGTGAATGACATTCCCACCCCTTCCCATCAGATGCCTCCTCTTGGCAGCTCTACTGAATCAGCCAGGAGTAAGTTTCAGTCCCTTTGATGACGCAGGAATTGAGGAATAAAAAGCAACTTGAGCCAGGTACGGTGGCTCACGCCTGTAATCCCAGCCCCTTGGGAGACTGAGGCGAGCAGATCACCTGAGGTTGGGAGTTTGAGACCAGCCTGGCCAACATGTCGAAACCCCATCTCTACTAAAAATACAAAGGTTAGGCAGGCCTGGTGGTAGGTGCCTGTAATCCCAGCTACTGGGGACACTGAGGCAGGAGAGTCACTTGAACCCAGGAGGTAGAGGTTGCAGTGAGCTGAGATCATGACACTGCACTCCAGCCTAGGCTACAGAGTGAGACTCTCTCAGAAAAAAAAAAAAAAAGGCAACTTGGGCAGTCAAGGGTGAGGTTTGGCCTTCGGAGTGGGAGCCTCGGGTAGGACAGCATGGGCCCAATCTCCCCACCTCATCTCCGCCATGGACACCCACAACCAACAAGGTATTTCCAGGCTTCACAGTGAAGACAATCTAGGAGTCACCCCTTCCTTGTACAAACAGGGAGATCATGGCACAGAGAGGGTGTGGCCACACCCAGAGTCACACAGCAAAGTCAAAGATAAGATTCTAGGCTGCCTCCCTCCCATCTTCCAGTTTTAAGGTGGGAAAATGCGTCCTCCCAGCAGGCATGACTTGGTGACTTCTGTTTATTCCCAGAAACAAGAGTCCACAGCAGGTGAGGGGTCACCCTCCCTCCTGTAGCCCGGCTCCTCTGTGGCACCATCAGATTCGGATGTGGAAGGTGCTGTGTACAGAGAGAAAAGGACTCAGTGCATTCAAGGAGTGGACAATCCCTCTTCCTCCTCTCCCTCAACATGCTCACGGGAAGTCCCTGGGTCAGGCAGGAAGGATGCCATGTGGACCCCTCAAACAACCCTAGGCAGGGGGACCCCCAGAGGGGTTGAGAGCACATGCCTTTCATTTTTTTATTTTATTTTATTTTTTTTGAGATGGAGTCTCACTCTGTCACCCAGGCTGGAGTGCAGTGGTGTGATCTCAGCTCACTGCAACCTCCGCCTCCAGGATTCAAGCAATTCTCATGCCTCAGCCTCCAGAGTAGCTGGGATTACGGGCACCTGCCATCACACCCAGTTAAAATTTGTATTTTCAGTAGAGACGGGGTTTCACCATGTTGGCGAGGCTGGCCTCGAATTCCTGACCTCAGGTGATCCACCCACCTCAGCCTCCCAAAGTGCTGGAATTACAGGCATGAGCCACCATGCCCGGCCAAGTTTTTTTTTTTTAATTTTTAAAATGTATAAAATGTATTTATTTATTTTTGAGACAGGGTCTCACTCCGTAACCCAGGCTGGAGTCCATGTCACAATCAGAGCTCACTGTGCCCTTGACCTCCTGGGCTCAAGCAATCCTCCCGCCTCAGCCTCCCAAGTAGCTGGAACTACAGGCATACACCACCATACCTGGCTGTTTTTTTATTTTTATTATTTTGTAGATATGGGCTGTCCTTATGTTGCCCAGGTTGGTCTCAAGCTCCTGAGTTCAAGAGGTCCTTCCTGCTTAGCCTCCCAAAGTGCTGGGATTAAAGGGCGTGAACCACCACACCTGGTTGGAATATTATTGTTCTTTGATTTTTTCCCAACCTTTTGAAAATATAAAAGCCATTCTTAGCTCACAGGAGGTACAAGAGCAGGCTTCGGGGCAGATTAGCCTATCAGCCATTCTTTGCCCTGCAGTGGGGGTTGATTTTCCCCCAAGGCTGCCAAGTACAGTTGCACAGTCTTTTCACTGCAAATTGTTCAGGCAGTAAGGGCTGAAGTCCACATTCTCCTTGCTGAAAGACGTGCATCCAGGCCAGGCACAGTGGCCCATGCCTGTATTCCCAGCACTTTGGGAGGCCAAGGCGGGTGGATCATCTGAAGTCAGGAGTTTGAGACCAGCCTGGCCAATATAGTGAAACCCCATCTCTACTGAAAAATACAAAAATTAGCTGAGCGTGGTGGCACGCTCCTGTAATCCCAGCTACTCGGGAGACTGAGGCAGAGAATTGCTTGAACCTGGGAGGTAGAGGTTGCAGTGAGCTAAGATTGCACTCCAGCCTGGCGACAAGAGTGAGATTCCATTAAAAAAAAAAAAAAAAGCCGGGCGCAGTGGCTCAAGCCTGTAATCCCAGCACTTTGGGAGGCCGAGGCGGGTGGATCACGAGGTCAAGAGATCAAGACCATCGTGGTCAACATGGTGAAACCCCCATCTCTACTAAAAATACAAAAAATTAGCTGGGCATGGTGGTGCATGCCTGTAATCCCAGCTACTTGGGAGGCTGAGGCAGGAGAATTGCCTGAACCCAGGAGGCGTAGGTTGTGGTGAGCCGAGATCACGCCATTGCACTCCCGCCTGGGTAACAAGAGCAAAACTCCATCTCAAAAAAAAAAAAAAAAAAGAGGTGCATCCACCCGCAAGAGGTGCCTGGGGTCCCAAATTCTCCCCATTTCACAGGTGCGAGGACTGAGACCAGAGAAATTGAGAAATTTCCCCAGTCGCAAAAGAACGAATAAAGGAATCTTCAGAAACAGTCTGCGAACTGTCTCCGTCAGAGCCCCGTCAGATGTGCACATGAACTGTGGACATGGTGAAGAGCATCACCTGAGGAAGTCTGGTGCCCGGAGGATCATGTTCTGGAAGTCTTCCAGGGACAGCCGCCCATCATGGTCCCCATCAGCCTCATCCAGCACCTTCTCGCACACCAGGCTCACCTCCTCAGCACTCAGCTCCCCCCCGAGTCAGTTTGGTCAGGGTCTGCTCCAGGTCCCACGCACAAATGTAGTCATCATTGTTAAAATCTGCAAAGCAAGACAGACAGGGAGTGCCAGCAGGTGGCAGGCAGGCTGGGCCGGCTGTGGGCACATACTGTGCCCATGTTACAGAAGGGGAAACTAGGGTTGGGTGGGTGACACATGCCTGTAATCCCAGCACTTTGGGAGGCTGAGGCAGGTGGATCACCTGAGGTCAGGAGTTTGAGACCAGCCTGGCCAACATAGTGAAACCCCATCTCTACTAAAAATACAAAAATTAGCCGGGCGTGATGGCAGGTGCCTGTAATCCCAGCTACTTGGGAGACTGAAGCAGGAGAATTACTTGAACCCAGGAGACGGAGGTTGCAGTGAGCTGAGATCGTGTCACTGTACTCTAGCCTGGGAGACAGAGCAAGACATCTCAAACAGACAAACAAACACACAAGGTGCCAGGCACTAAGGTAACTGCTTTTCTTTCATTCAGTCATTCAACAAATATTTACTGAGCCAGGCATGTAAGACATAGTGAGCAAAATAGATACTGTCAGTACCTTTGGGGTCAATAAGAAGTGAACAGGTCAGTGAACAAGAAATTAAGCAGCATTGCCTGGTGCTAGAAGAGAAATAGGATGGTGGGATTGGTGGGGTGAATGGGGAGAGGAGTACTTTTGACCTAGACTTCAAAGATAAGAAGGAGCCAGGGGGCCGGGCACGGTGGCTCACGCCTGTAATCCCAGCACTTTGAAAGGCTGAGGCAGGGGGATCATGAGATCAGAAGTTCAAGACCAGCCTAGGCAAGATAGTGAAACCCCGTCTCTAATAAAAATACAAAAATTAGCTGGGCACGGTGGCAGGCACCTGTAATCCCAGCTACTCAGGAGGCTGAGGCAGGAGAATTGCTTGAACCCAGGCAGCAGAGGTTGCAGTGAGCTGAGATCATGTCACTGCACTCCAGCCTGGGCGATAGAGTGAGACTCCATCTCAAACAAAACAAAACAAAAAAGAAGGAGCCAGGAGAGCCGGGCGCGGTGGCTCACACCTGTAATCCCAGCACTTTGGGAGGCCAAGGTGAGCAAATCACCTGAGGTCAGGAGTTCGAGACCAGCCTGGCCAACATGGTAGAACCCCATCTCTACTAAAAATACAAAAATTAGCCAGGCATGGTGGTGCATGCATGTAGTCCCAGCTACGCAGAAGACTGAGGCAGGAGAATCACTTGAACCTAGGAAGTGGAGGTTGCAGTGAGCCAAGATTGAGCCACTGCAATCCAGCCTGGGCAACAAGAGTGAAATTCCATCTCAAAAAAAAAAATAAATAATATAAATAAATAAAGAAGGAACCAGGGGAAAGGTGTTTTAGGCAGAGAGTTTAGCAGAGGCAAAGGCCCAGAGGCCGAAAGAGTGTGGTGTGTTTGAGGAACAGCAAAGCCACTGTGGCTGGAATAGAGTTAGCAAAAAAATGAGGTGGGGAGGCATTGGAGTGGGGTGGAGGACCGGACCACACAGGGTCTCAAAGCCCTTGGGGAGATGTATGTGATGGAGGTGCCCCCCACCCAGTTCCCACTGTCCACCCCATGCCCATGATCCCCAACCCCAGGGCTGTGCACCTACCATAAATTTTAAAAGCATAGTAGGCCTTGAGGTCACGGGGAGCCATTTCGCTCATCACGGAAAACATGTCCAAAAAGTTATCTAAGGTCATGTGGCCATCCCCATCGTCAGAGAAGACCTGGGCGATCCTCTGGCGGAAGGGGTTATCCTGGGGAGAGAAAGGAAGCTGGGAGGCCATCTTCCGACACCCAGGGTCTCTAGGGCTCCATGTGGTTTCACTGTCAGCACCCATTTTATGGGAACCTCCAAGTACCCTCCATCAAGACTCACTCTCTCCCACGGTTCCCGGACAGGACTTTGGACAACTCCACCTTCTTCTGCCCCTGTGGTCTGAGCAAACTTGACTCCCACTTCCAGCTCTTGGAGCAGCCATATTACCCAGGCAAGGCCAATCATAGAGTTCCATTCACCTGGCAACAGTGATTGGCTCTGGGATGGGCATGTAACTCAAATTAGCCAATCAGAGGCTGCCCTGGGACATTTTTCTGAAAAATTGGGAGGGAGAGGATCTGATTTCTGTTGCTTGCAGAGCTCACAGAAGCTAAAGCTGAGTGACTGAGAGGTCTTTTCACAGCCTCAAGAGGAGAGGCTCCCTGAGACTGAAACCTCTTCCAGGGAGAAGCCGAGAGATGGGGAAGATTCCTGAGCACATCATCAGAGCCCCTGGTTTCAGCCATGCCTGACACTGTCCCTGCCCCTGGATTTTTTTGTTGTTGCTCAGGGGCGATCCATTCTGATCCAGTCCATTCTGTCCCTCTCAAATAAGGTTTTTGTCACTTCCAATAAAATCAATCCTACTCACAGTCACTCAATCCACGAGTTCCCCTCAAAGGCACAAATCATGTGTTAAACATCCTACTGAGAAAGCCTGCATTTAGCAGCTCCTGTTACAAAAAGAATTAACATTCTCTGAGTACTTGACATGCAACACACCCTGTACTGAGGTTTGTTTTTTGTTTGTTTGTTTTGAGACAGAGTCTCACTCTGTTGCCAGGCTGGAGTGCAGTGGTGCAATCTCAGTTCGCTGCAACCTCCACCTCCCAGGTTCAAGCAACTTTCCTGCCTCAGCCTCCCAAGTAGCTGGGACTACAGGGGTGCGCCACCATGCCCAGTTAACTTTTGTATTTTTAGTAGAGATGGGGTTTCACCATGTTGGCCAGGATGGTCTCCATCTCTTGACCTCATGATCCACCCGCCTCGGCCTCCCAAAGTGCTGGGATTACAGACGTGAGCCACCACACTGGCGAGCTCTGGGTTTTAACGTTGCCTCTGTCGCATTGTAGCTGTGTGACCATGAACAAGTGTCTTAACCTCTCGGAGCCACAGTTTTCTTATCTGTAAAATGAAGATAACTGCAACACCCACCTCATAAGAATGCAACGAGAGACATCTGTAGTAATTTTTCCCCTGCCTGTCCCATGGCCTGGGCATACCTTCAGCTCGGGCATGCTGCCAATGAGCTCGTAGGGCACCTTCACATCAGGACAGGTGGTATAGTCGAGGGGCACGAGCTGCGGGGCCAGGTCCTGGTACCGATGGAAGAGCCTGATGTGGGGAGAAAAAAGCTGAGAGAGGCTGGGGGCAGGGAGCAGGCAAGAGGCTTGTCCCTTTTTTGTTTTGTTTTGTTTGAGACGGAGTCTTGCTCTGTCGCCCAGGCTGGAGTGCAGTGCTTCAATCTCAGCTCACTGCAACCTCTGCCTCCTAGGTTCAAGCTATTCTCCTGCCTCAGCCCCCTGAATAGCTGAGATTACAGGTGCATCCCATCACGCCTGGCTAATTGTTTTGTATCTTTAGTAGAGATGGGTTTTCACCTTGTTGGTCAGGCTGGTCTCAAACTCTTGATCTTGGGTGATCCACCTGCTTTGGACTCCCAAAGTGCTGGGATTACAGGCCCGAGACACCGTGCCCAACCAAGTCCCTTCTCTTTCACATTCACAGCTGCCCTGGGCCTGGACCTCAAGCATACAGAGTCTGACACAGGCAACTCTACCTCCCTCGGGGCAGGACCAAGGTGCAGAGAGGGCCACAGGACACAGGGAGACTGGACTGGGGAAAGCAAGCTAGGGAGGAGAAGGGGGTTCCTGGAAGAGGGGACATTGGTGCTGGGCTTTGAAGCATGAGTAGGAGTTTATAAGGCAGATGAAGTTGGGAGAAGGGAGGGTGCTTATGGCCAGATCACAGCAAGCATTCAGACAATCCTACATAATTTACCATCTCTGGATATCATCATGTTATCAGCAAGATCCTGCCTCCAAAGATACCCTCATTTGTTTTCTTTTTCTTTTCTTTCTTTCTCTCTCTTTTTTCTTTCTTCCTATTTCCTTCTTTCCTTCCTTCCTCCCTCCCTCCCTCCCTCCCTTCCTCTCTTCTTTCTTTCTTTCATGAAGTTTTCCTCTTGTTGCCTGGGGTAGAGTGCAATGGTGTGATCTCGGCTCACCTCAACCTCCGCCTCCTGGGTTCAAGCGATTCTCCTGCCTCAGCTTCCTGAGTAGCTGGGATTACAGGCATGCGCCACCATGCCCAGCTAATTTTTTTTTTTTTTTTTTTTTTGGTATTTTTAGTAGAGACAGTGTTTCTCCATGTTGGTCAGACTGGTCTCAAATTCCCTACTTCAGGTGATCCGCCTGCCTCGGCTCCCAAAGTGCTGAAATTACAGGTGTGAGCTGCTGCGCCCGGCTGGTACCCTCATTTTCATATCTTCCCTTCCCCTCCTCATAATGGGAGGAAGGAGCTGGGTGCAGTGGCTCACTCCTGTAATCCCAGCACGTTGGGAGGTCAAGGCAGGAGGATCACCTGAGGTCAGGAGTTCGAGACCAGCCTGGCCAACATGGGAAATCCCATCTTTACTAAAAATACAAAAAAATTAGCTGGGCGTGGCGTCCAGTACCTGTAATCCTAGCTACTTGGGAGACTGAGGCAGAGAATCACTTGAACCCAGGAGGCAGAGGTTGCAGTGAACCAAGATCGTGCCATGGCACTCCACCCTGGGCAACAGGAACAAGACTCCATCTCGAAAAAAAAAATGGGAGGAAGGGTTTCCTCAATGGGACAGAGCAGAGGCAAACAGCTAATATTCACGTTTTTCTAAAGGGCTGACTAAAGGCATTTTCTAAATAACTGAATACCACACACACTATCTAGACTGTAAGGCCAGTTCTTCACTCAAATGCCCTCACCTGCTGACGCCATCCCTTCATGAGGGCATGCTGAGCGGCAGCCTTGCAGAGACCATCCTTGGTGGGTCTGAGGTCCCCAAGCTGCTGGGGACTGTCTCTGAGAGAGACATGAGTCCCTGGGTCATAGGATGAGTAGGAACTCGGTGAAGGTGGAATAGGGAGACCGGGAACGTCCATCCTGACCACCCAGTTCCCTATCGGGATCCCCTCAGGGAACACCCTGGCTTTAGGTTTCTGTGTGGCTTTGAGCAGGTTCCTCTCCCGCTCTTTGCCTTGGTTATTCTGGCTGACAAGCAAGAAGCTTGGGACAGATGAAACGTCAGTCAGCCTTCAACCTCCTTGGGACTCTGCCCATCTACCCTTCTTTCTGGGGTCAACATCGCCCTGCCTGAGCCTCAGTTTCCCCATCAGTAATTTGATCGTGATGGCCAAGGTGACCCTGCAAGCTGTCCTCACCCAGACAATGGGGCTCACTAGTAAAAGGTGTGGCCATCAATAATGGATGTCCTGTGACTACACACATGGGGCCTTGGCCCCGATCACACTGCAGCCGAACCCTGGCCAGCTTGGGTTTCACAGCTCCGAGTTCATGGGTCGGGGCCTCTGGACAATGGCCCTACAGGCCTAGTGATGATGTGGGATACTCATCCGTGCCCATCCTGCTGGGTCACGCCAGGGACCTGCAGCCACCTTGGGCCGCCTCCCCACACCCTCACCTATGCCAACTCCACAACCCAGAGCGGGCTCTGGACTTTGCACCTGGGCTCCGAGCCTCCAGAGAATCTCTCTCTCTCTCTCTCTCTCTCTCTCTTTCTCTCTCTCTCTCTCTCTCTCTCTCTTTCTTTCTCTTTCTCTCTCTCTTTCTTTCTTTCTCCCTCCTTCCTTCCTCCCTCCCTCCCTCCCTCCCTCCCTCCCTCCCTCCCTCCCTCCTTTCCTTCCTTCCTTCCTTCCTTTCCTCCCCTCCCCTCCCCTTCCCTCCCTTTCCTTTCCCTTCCCTTCCTTCCAGGCTGGACTACAGTGATGCAACCTCAGCTCACTGCGATCTCTACCTCCCAGGTCTCGGTTCAAGCAATTCTCCTGCCTCACCCTCCCTAGTAGCTGGGACTACAGGCGCACACCACCACGTCCAGCTGATTTTCGTATTTTTAGTAGAGACAGGGTTCACCATGTTGGCCAGGATGGTTTCAATCTGACCTCATGATCTACCCGCCTCGGCCTCCCAACGTGCTGGGACTACAGGTGTGAGCCACTGTGTCAGGCTGCAGTGAGGTAGCACAATCTAAGCTCCCTGCAACCTTGGCCTCCCGGGTTCAAGTGATTCTCCTGCCTCAGCCTCCCAAGTAGCTGGGATTACAGGCATCCGTAACCACACCTGGCTGATTTTTGTGTTATTAGTAGAGACAGAGTTTCACCATGTTGGCCAGGCTGATCTGGAACTCCTGACCTCAGGTGATCCACCCGTCTTGGCCTCCCAAAGTGTTGGGATTACAGGCGTGAGCCACTGCGTCCAGCCTCAGGAGAATCTTTCTCACATGCTGATGGTCTCTCTCCTGCTCACACACATGCCCCACAGCTCCCAAGCCCAAGCTCATAAGCCTAGAGACTGGGACAATATGACAAGATGGAACTTTTCAGCTCTTCTGTCTCTGCCTCCATCCACTGACCACACCTGTGCCCCTTCCCCATTTGAGTCCCATCAAATTGGAAATACCAGTTGGGCATGGTGGCTCACATCTGTAATCCCAGCACTTTGGGAGACTGAGGCAGGAGGATTGATTGAGCCCAGGAGTTTAAGACCAGCCTGGGTCTCACATGGTGAGACTCCCATCTCTACAAAAAAAAAAACACAAAAATGAGCCACACATGGTGGTGCACCCCTCAAGTAGTAGTCCCAGCTACTTGAGGGGGAGAATCAACTGAGCTTGGGAGATCAAGGCTACCATGAGCCCTGATTGCAGTACTGCACTCCAGCCTAGGCAACAGAGACCCTGTCTCAAAGAAGAGAGATTGAGAGAGAGAGAGAGAGAGAGAGAGAGAGAGAGGGAGGGAGAAAGAAAGGAAAGAAAGAAGAAAGGAAGGAAGGAAGGAAGGAGGAGAGAGAGAGAAAAAGAAAGGAAAGGAAGGAAGGAAGAAAAAAAGAAGGAAAGAAAGAAAGGAGGAAGGAAGGGAGGGAGGGAAAAAAGAAAATGTACACACACACACACCCAAATTGCAAATATCCTCCAGCAATGACTAGAAAGTTGATTTTCCAGATCTTCGCTCCCTTCCTCCCTGGACTGACCTCATGATCTCCTTCCTCGTGAAGAATGTGCAGTCCTGCGGAGAGAGGTGTTGTCTTAACCCGAACCCTGCCACTGGGGCTTCCTTCCCCCACCTCCTCCCTCATCCCACACTCAACACACAGAAGGCCCGGCGCCGCCACACACAGAGCCCAACCAGGAACCCTGGTGGATGGTATACCCGGATGAAGGGATTCTGTTCCCATTTCCCAGACTGGGAAACCAAAGCTGTCAAACCCACTGAGGACCAATCCTGTCCCCCCCTACCTGATATGCTTCCAGCTGCTCATGAGTGAAGACCGTCTGCTTGCTGCCCATGGTATGAGCCACACCCCAGGCTCCAGGATGCACCCCTTAAGCCCCAGCTTCCTCGGAGCCACACGGGTTGCCAGGCTGTTGTGTACCAGTGCCTGGGCAAATCTCCCTGCCCTGGCTGTCACCTGCCCACCCATGTCGTCACCCCCTGCTTGATGAGACTCAAATTACAGGCTCTCTGGACTGCAGCCTGAATGTGTCCACGGGTGAGGATAAGGGCTATGGGATGTCACAGAGAAGCCCTCCGTGGGGAGACCACACCTGCCACCACCAGGTGAGGCTGGGGGTATGGGGCTCATTCAAGGGACAGGCAGGATGTGCGGAGGGACTATGGGCACACCCCAGCTCAAATTCCAGCTCTCTGTCCACTGGCTGTGTGGCCCTGGACAAGTCATCTGACTCCTCTAAACCTCATTCATGAGATGAAAATTACGTTATACCTGCCTCATAGCGTCACTCTCAGGATCTGAGATTTTTTTTTTTTTTTTTAGATGGAGTCTCGCTCTGTAGCCCAGGCTGGAGTGCAGTGGCATGATCTTGGCTCACTGCAACCTCCGCCTCCCAGGTTCAAGCAATTCTCCTGCCTCAGTCTCCTGAGTGGATGGGATTATAGGTGCGTGTCACCACGCCCAATTAATTTTTGTGTTTTTATTAGAGATGGCGTTTCACCATGCTAGTCAGGCTGGTCTCGAACTCCTGACCTGTTGATCCACCCACCTCGGCCTCCCAAAGTGCTGGGACTACAGACATGAGCCACCGCACATGGCCATGATCTGAGATTTAATTTAAAAAAAAAAAAGGTTTTGGCTGGGCGAGGTGGCTCATACCTTTAACCCCAGGACTTTGGGAGGACGAAGCATGCGGTTCATCCTGCTTGAGACCAGGAATTCTCCTGCCTCAGCCTCCCGAGTGGCTGGGACCACAGGTGTACACCACCACGCCAAGCTGATTTTTTTTGTATTTTTTTGTAGAAATGGGGTTTCATCATGTTTCCCAGGCTGGTCTCGAACTCCTGGGCTGAAGCAAACCTTGTGCCTCAGCCTCCCAAAGTGCTGGAATTACAATTGTTAGCCACCCTGCCCAGCCTATTATTATTATTCCTATTGTTATTGTCATTATTATAAGTATTACGTTGTGACTTGAAAAAGGTGATCCAAGGTCTGAAGTTGATAAACAGTGGGTTAAATAATGCCGGATAAGAGTTCTCTGTTGCAGGAATTGTCAGAGCCTTTAATATTCTGCTAGGCACAGTGGTGCATGCCTGTAGTTCCAGCTACTTGGGAGGCTGCAGCAGGAGGATCGCTGGAGCCCAGGAATTCTGGGCTATGGTGCACTATGCTGATTGGACGTCTACACTAAGTTTGACATCAGTATGGTGGCCTCCTGAGAGCAGGGGACCACCAGGTTACCTAGGATGGGTGAACTGGCTCAGGTCGGACACGGAGCAGGTGAAAACTCCCATGCTGATCAGTAGTGGAACGGTGCCTGTGAATAGCCACTGCACTCCAGCCTGGGCAATATAGTGAGACCCTATCTCTAAAAATATATATTAACCAGGCGCAGTGGCTCATGCCTGGAATCCCAGCACTTTGGGAGGCTGAGGTTGGTGGATCATCTGAGGTCAGGAGTTAGGGACCAGCTTGGTCAACACAACAAAACCCTATCTCTACAAAATACAAAAATTAGCCAGGTGTGATGGTGGACTCCTGTAATCCCAGCTACTCGGGAGGCTGAGGTAAGGAGAACTGCTTGAACCCGGGAGGTGGAGGTTGCAGTGAGCTGAGATTGTGCCACTGCACTCTAGCCTGGGAGACAGAGCAAGACTCCATCTCAAAAAATTTTAAAAAAAGGGAAGAGAAAGAATTATAAAATTATACTGTACACCATGCATCTTCTAAGGGTTTTTTTTTTTTTTTTTTTTTTGAGACTGAGTCTCATTCTGTCACCCAGGCTGGAGTGCAGTGGCACGATCTCAGCTCACTGCAGCCTCCGCCTCCCGGGTTCAAGCAGTGCTTCTTACCTCAGCCTCCCGAGTAGCTGGGATTATAGGCACCCACCATCACGCTTGGCTAATTTTTGTATTTTGTAGAGACAGAGTTTTGCTGTGTTGACCAGGCTGGTCTGGATCTCCTGACCTCAGATGATCCACCCGCCTCAGCCTCTCAAAGTGCTGGGATTCCAGGCCAAAGGGTAGAGCTACCAACTTTATTAAGGCCCAGAATCCTCTTGGGTGGAGAATCTGGGGATCTAAAGTTCTTAGCCTAGCCTTCCACGCCCTTCTCATTGTGGATCTCAGCTGTGTTTTCTCTCCCTGGCCTGAATTATGCAGTATCTCCCTTCAGGCTTCCCTGCCTCAGCCTCATCAAGCATTCTCTACCAAATCTGTGCAGTCATCTTGTAAAAGGGGACCCTGATCAGGCTTGAAAGATGCCCCAAAAAATGACTTTTTTTTTTTTTGAGACAGAGTCTCACTCTGTCACCCAGGCTGAAGTGCAGTGGTACAATCATGGCTCACTACAGTGACCCTCCTTCCTCAGCCTCTCAGGTAGCTGGGACTAGAGGCACATGCTACCACATCTGGCTAATTTTTTGTATTTTTTGTCTCTCTATGTTGCCCAGGCTGGTCTTGAACCCTTGGCCTCAAGTGATCCACAAACCTCAGCCTCCCAAAATGCTATGATTACAGGCATGAACCACCATGCCCAGCCATCCAAGAATGACTTTTTAAAAAATAACTATATTGGCTGGGCGTGGTGGCTCACGCCTTTAATCCCAGCACTTTGGGAGGCTGAGGCAGGTGGATCGCCTGAGGTCGAGAGTTCAAGACCAGCCTGACCAACATGGAGAAACCCCATCTCTACTAAAAATACAAAATTAGCCGTGCAGGATGGCACATGCCTGTAATCCCAGCTACTCAGGAGGCTGAGGCAGGAGAATCACTTAAGCCCAGGAGGCAGAGGTTGTGGTGAGCCAAGATTGCGCCATTGCACTCCAGCCTGGACAGCAAGAGTGAAACTCTCTCTCAAATAAATAAATAAATAAAAATAAACGATATCAAGTGTTGGTGAGGGACTGGAGCAACCGGAATGCTCATACATTGCTGGTGGGGATGAAAAATAGTACAGACACTCTGGAAAATAGGATGGCTGGGTTTGTTTTTTTTTTTTTTTTAAATAGAATTAACCTTACCACAAGCCTCAGGGCCCAGTGTGGGGTCTCATGCCTGTAATTCCAGCACTTTGGGAGGCCAAGGCAAGAGGAACACTTTAGCTTAGGAGTCAGAGACCAGCCTAGGCAGCATGGTGAAGCCCCATCTCTACAAAAAGTATAAAAATTAGCCAGGTATGGTGGCATCCAGCTACCTGGAAGGATTGCTTGAGCTAGGGAGATCGAGGATGCAGTGAGCTGTGATCACTCCACTGCGCTGCACTCCAGCCTGGGTGACAGAGTAAGATCCTGTCTCAAAAAAAAAAAAAAAAAAAAAAAGCAAAAAAGACTCCTGGGTGTGTACCCAAGGGAAATAAAAACCTATGTTCAACTGAGAGTGACCCCTAATGTAAACTATCCACTCCGGGTGATAATGATGTATCAATGTCAGTTCATCAATTGTAACAAACTTGCTACTGACATGCACTTGCAGGCGGGGGGGATCTTGATCGCAGGGGAAGCCAGGCAAGCTTGGAAGCAGCAGGTGTACCAGGACTCTCTGTATCTTCTGCTCAATTTTGCTGTGAACCTTAGACTGCTTTTAAAAAATAAGGTATAATTTTTTTAAAAATTTAAACTAGGTTCACACAAAAACCTGTCATGCCCACAGAATGGGGCAAATGCTCAGATGCTCAAGTCCTTTAAATAAAATGATGTAATATTTGCATATAGCCTATGCACATCCTCCATATACTTTATTTATTTATTTATTTATTGAGACAGAGTCTCACTCTGTCACCCAGGCTGGAGTGCAGTGTCATGGTCTCAGCTCACTGCAACCCCCACTTCCCGGGTTCAAGCTATTCTCCTGCCTCAGTCTCCTGAGTAGCTGGAATTAGCACCCAGCTAATTTTTGTATTTTTGGAAGAGACGGGCTTTAACCATGTTAGCCAGGCTGGTCTTGAACTCCTGACCTCAAGTGAACAGCCCACCTCAGCCGCTCAAAGTGCCGGGATTACAGGTGTGAGCCACTGTGCCCAACTCTCCATATACTTTTAATTACCTCTAGATTACTTATAATATCTAATGAAATATAAATGCTATATAGTTGTTATGCATTTTTATTTTATTGGTTCCAGATATTTTTACTCCATGGTTTATTGAATTCATGGATAAGGAACCTGTGGATATGAAGGGCTAACTGTATTTGCAAATCATATATCTCATAAGGAACTACTATTCAGAATATGTAAAGAACTCTTGGCCTAGTGCTGTGGCTCACACCTGTAATCCCAGCACTTTGGGAGGCTGAGGGTGGAGGATTGCTTGAGCCCAGGAGTTCAAGATCAGCTTGGGCAACATAGGGAGGCCCCCATCTCTACAAAAAAGAAATAAGAAATTAGCCCAGGCACAGGGGTTCACACCCATAATCTTAGCACTTTGGGAGGCCAAGGCAGGCTTGAATATAGTGAAATTCTGTCTCTGCAAAAAATTAGCCATAGGTGCTATCTATGCACCTATGGTCCTGAGTCCCAGCTACTAGAAATGCTGAGGGAAGAATCGCTTGAGCCCAGGAGGTGGAGGTTGCAATGAGATTGCATTCTGGTGTGGGCCACAGAGCCAGATTCTGTCTCAAAAAAAAAAAAAAAAAGCTGGCCACAGTGGCACATGCCTGTGGTCCCAGCGATTCAGGAGGTTGAGGGAGGATCGATTGCCCAAGACTTTAAGGATAAAGTAAGCTGTAATTGTACCACTGTACTCCAGCCCAGGCGACAGAGAGAGACGCCATCAAAAACAAGAACAACAACAACAACAAAACCCACAATAGGTCAGACGTGGTGGCTCACACCTGTAATCCCCGCACTTTGGGAGACCAAGATGGGTGGATCACCTGAGGTCCAGAGTTCGAGACCAGCCTGGCCAACATGGTGAAACCCTATCTCTACTAAAAATACAAAAAATAGCCAGGTGTGGTGCTACATGCCTGTAGTCCCAGCTACTCAGGAGGCTGAGGCAGGAGAATCACTTGAACCCAGGAGGCAGAGGTTGCAGTGAGCCAAGGTCACACCATTGCACTGCAGCCTGGACAAGAGTGAGACTCTAGCTCAAAACAAAAACAAACCATAATAAAAGCTAAGAACTCTTACATCTTAAAAATAGAAAGACAAATAACCCAAATAAAAACATTATGCCACGTGGTGGTTCACTCCTGTAATCACAGCACTTTGGAAGCCAAGGTGGGTGGATCGCTTGATCCTAGAAGTTCAAGACCAGACTGGGCAACGTGATGAAACTTTGTCTCTACAAAAAAAAGAATACAAAAGTTAGCCAAACGTGGGGGCATGCTCTGAGGTACCAGCTATTGGGAGGCTGATGTGGGAGGATTGCTTGAGCCCAGGAAGTTGAGGCTGCAGTGAGCCATGATTGTGCGGCTGGACTACAACCCAGGCAACAGACCCTGACTCTAAAAAAACAAGAGGAAGAAGAAGGCAGCAAATTTCACGTGAAGTGTTCTTACCACAGTGTTTTTTGAGACGGAGTTTGCCCACGCTGGAGTGCAATGGCGCAATCTCGGCTCAAA